TGACATTGACCTTCAGGCTGTGAATGTAGCAGAATGTGGGTGGGAAGGAGTGTGACAGACTCTCAAAGAGAAATACAAGATAAAAACCTGTAAAACTATACATAATGAGTGAGATGTGCACCATCTGGGGGATGGTCATGCTGGAGACTCAGACCAGGAGCTACCTCCATAGTGTGCCCACACCTCCCTGGACTTACCTGTAACTTTCTGTGTGTATGTGTGTGGTGTATATATATAGTGTATATATATATTTATACACACACACATATATATATCTTGCTAAACCCCCAAATCTTTGAGTTCATTGAGGTTAAAAGCAGAAATTATAACCAGTTCACATCTAAATCCAAGTCCCAACAAAACCCAGCACCTAATAAGCTCTCAACAAAACCTACCAAATGAGGGAGGGAATGAATGAATGAATGAGTGAATCTGTGAATAAACTTATGAAAGAATGAACTTATAAATGAGTAAGTGAATAAATGAATGAATGAATTTATGAATGAGTGAATGAATGGAAATGTGGCATCCAACCAAACACACAATATCAAGGTGCTAATATCCTCAAGGAAGGAGCACCTTTCATCCCTCTCCTAGACGTTTGCAAAGGAGAATTGGCTAGGTGAATTAAAAAATAAAATAGACATTTGCTTCCAAAGTTGAGTCCAAGTTGTGGCTCCACTAGCAAAGTGAATTTAGGCAAGTTATTTAACCTCTTTGCACCACAGTTTTATCATCTGAGAAATGAGAATAATATATGTCCCACCTTATAAAGTTGTAGCGTAATTACAAATAAGGTATACTCAGTGCCTAGCACATGTTTGGCACTCAATCAGTGGTAGCCATCAGTATTCACCAAACCCTGCAATGGAGTGGCATGGCCAAAGCTGGAGCATCTGTTTTCAAGCCAAGAAGGATTAGCCTCACAAAATATACCAAGGTCATTCTAAGATATCAGACCACTCTGCCAAATGGCCAAAGATATTAGCCCACAACATCTCTCTTAACAACTTTGAAATGGATAGTAAATTCTGACCTTATAATAGGCCATCAGTGAAAACTCCCTCAAGGAATGTGAATGAATAAACCAAGAAAGGCAAAGACATTGCCTCTGTACAAGTGAAGCTACAGTAAATATTAAGTTGCCAAAAATGCCAACACACTGCATCATTTGGGATATGCTAGGTTGTGCTGCAGTAACAAACAACTTCAAAATCTCGATGGGTTAAAAATCAGGTTGCACGTCCTTTGCAGGTCAGCAAGGGGACTCTGCTCAGACATCCAGGTGTACTGAACAGTTATCATCTCAAATGGTAAGGACCACCACTTCCAGGGGGGAAAAGAGCTCTGGAGAGTCTCATAATGGCAATCAAATATTCAGTTTGTGGGTAACATGGTCCATGCACAATCATTGTCTTGAGCTAATCACTTGGCACCACCCAACTACGAGGGGGCGGGAAGTGCAAGCCCAGCACGTGACCAGAGTGGGAAGAGAGGGCAATGGGTGGTGAACAGCACCAGTGGGCACCACACACCACAAGAGAAGGTGACATCCAGTAAGCTCCATCCAAACCAGTCCTGGCAGTGGTGCCCACAAGAACCAACTGGAAGGCAAAGGAACCACACCCCTCCCAAGATCTGTTAATAACAACTCTGAGTGGAGAGGGGGTCATTGCAAAAGACAGCTCTGTTCTGCTTTGAGCAAGTCTGAGGGAACTCGGAATTTCCTTACTGCTCTCTTTGAAAGCCAACTGTATTCACATTAATCAGGAACCCGCGTCATATCACGATGCCGCCAGTGCTGGGCAAGAACAGGGCAGAACCACTCAAAATGGTGGATTCTTGCACAGGAGTGAGAAAGTGCTTCTCTCCCTCATTTGGAAGAGAGTTTCAAAATGCACAAAGAAGCAAACAGTCCTCTGGGCACATTACCCTGCCAGGTATGTTTGAGTTGAGTTATTAGCAGGAGCTCTGCCAGGCTTACAGGGAACTTAAGAAAGGACCCCATGTTCCAGGTCAAGATCATTAGGGAGTTTTATTAGCACCTTGGATTCAGACTCTATATGTAACCCATCCTCTGAGGCCTACATAAAATTAACTGGGGCCCCCCATTCTTTGCCAAGTGGAAGGTTCAGTGCTCCCCAAGATATCTTTGGCGTCTTGGAACTTACCTGCCCATGGGCGCCTATTTTGCTGCTTCCTTTCTCACCAGCTCTTCGTCTCACCTGCCAAGGAAATATGAGCAAAGCACAAAAGTGGGAGCAGCTGGTGTGTCTGCAACAGCGAGGGGTACGGTGCTGCAAGGACAGGACATGGGAGTCTCGAGAGGACAGCCAGCTGGGGGCCCATCAGAGGGCCATGGCTTCCACAGAAGGAAGCCAGATTTTTATCCGGTCATTGGTGCAAGGCCAGGGAAGGATTTTAAGCCAAGAATGGACACAGTCAGATTTAGAGTTTAGATGGGTCACAGGGCAACTCCAGAAGTTGGTTAGGAAGGAGGCAAAGATGGGAAGAGGGAGCCAGGAGGGGAAGCTCTTGCAGGATTCTTGATGACAAGCCACAGGTCTGACCCCGAGTGGGAGAGGGAGAGAGGGCTGGGGAACTGTTTGTGAAATAATTGAGAAAGTGAAGTCAGCAGAGCTTGGTGATTAAAAACAGGCGTATGGGAGAGGCAAGAGTTCACAGGGCCGTGGAAATCAGAAGAGGCACAGGATGGGGGTGCATGGGTTGTGTCCAGGAAAGAGCCAGTTCCCTGGGCAAACCAGACAGTATACTCTCCTTTGGGGAGCAGGAGAAGACACAGCCAGAACGCTAGTCACCTTGAAGGTTGGGAGTGGCAGGAACTTTGTGCTGAGTTCAAGAAGTAATCCCTGAAGGTTTTTAAGGAAAGACACAGCACGACAGGGTGACTTATGCTGACCACTTGCCTGTCTAGATGAGGCAAACCAACATGGAAGAGCCTCATGGACTCAATGGCCTGAAAACACAGACGGCAATGTCTATACTAGGGATGGAATCGTTTTAAAATACGTCCACACATTCTTCAACACTGCTCCCTTCAAAGGGTAGAACCTAAGTCCCCTAAAGTGTGGGCTTGCTTCCAACAAATAGAGCATGGGGGAAGAAACAGTGTCTGGCATCCAGGACCAGGTCTTAAAAGGCATTGCAGCACCCTCCTTGCTCGCTCGCTCGCTCTCTCGCTCTCTCTCGGATCAGCTGCTCTGAAGGAAGAGAGCCACCATGTCATGAGGACACTTGAGCAGCCCTGCACTGCAGAGAGACTCATGCAGTGAGAAACTGAGGTCTCCTATCAAAAACTAGAGAGGAACTGAGGCCTCCTACCAACAGCCATGTGACTGCGCCTTCTTGGAAAAGCGCCCCCCAGTCAAGCCTTTGGATGACTACAGCTCCCCCCAACATCGTAACTAAAACCTCACGACACACCCTGAGCCAGAACTACCCAGCTAAGAAGTTCCCGAATCCCTGACCCTCAGAAAGTGTGACATAATAAACGTCTGTTGTTTGTAGCCGATGCATGTTGGGCTAATTTGTTATGAGGCAATTGATAACTACTACAATGAGATGCCCAGAAAATATTTGGCAGATGAATGATAAAATGGAAGGGAGGAAGGACACAGGTTAGACAGTCTTTGCCAAAGTTTAGAAAAGACACCTGTGGGGCTGAAGGAGGGTGTTGGGAACAGAAAGGAGGGGAACAGCCATGTCTGACGACAGATGGAAATTCTAGGAAAGTGGGCAACTGGTTGACCATGAGATGTGCAGGAAAGAAAGACTGCAAAGATCATTCCAAGATTTGAAGCCTGAGTGACCTGAGAGGGACCTAAGTGCCTTTGGAAATGGAAATTATGTGGATCCGTCATCATCATCATCATCATAAACACCATCATGGTCACCATCATTGGTTTTGGTATTTAAAACAGTTTTCCTTTTAAAGGATACGTTCTCAAAAATGGCATGGTCTCACTTAAGAGGGTCTCCAATCTTGCCATTTCAATTATGGAAACAGCCAAAGCATGTTTTGTAACACTAAAGTTTCCAAGTAGATGTTTTATTTTCTAAAATGCCCATAATTACCCCGAGTATTTGAGGAACTTGAAGCAGGTATGGCCTTTTTCAACAGTCAAATGAGCTAGCTAAAATCCTTTCCAGCAGCATCTCGTAGCACTTTAAACCATTGTGCGTTGACCAAGGAGCTAGCTCGCATGCACACGGGCAGACAGCCACCCACCAGAATTCCCAGCTTGGACAAAATTGCAAGAGCAGCACCAATTGAGCCATCACCACTTTGGAGTGGAGCAGAGAGACAGGAACTTGGCTGGCCAGGGGGAGGAACAAGCAGGGGGTGTTGATGGCATCCTCTGTAATGGATTCTTGAGTCAGACAGTCCCCTTCTGCTGGATGTTAGGGCAGCAGATGTACATGCCTTGGCCAAGGGTCAGATGCAGCCAGACTTTTGGCAGAAGCTGAGGACAGTCCCCTGGATATGGTGCAAAGAAAGCCATTTGGACCCTTTTCTTCACCTGCCCATCAGGGGGCCACAGAAACACCGAGGGACTTCAAGGTCTACTCAAAAAGTAGAAACCCCTCCAGGTGTAGGCCTGCCAAAAAATGAGACTAGTAAGGACGGCCATTTTATTCTTTATCTTATTTACAGATTCCTCCACCTACTTTTGTCGATGGCACCAAAGCAGAGCACCCATGACAAGCCGCTATGACATTAAGACAGTTCCCCCTTGCTGGGGTTTTACCTGGAGCCTGTGGTCAGTTGCTTTCTCAATAGGCAGGTACTAAACCCTCCCGTGAGGTCCGCTGCCCCAGACTCTGTGAGCGAGAGGAGACCCCCAAACAGACCCCACTAAGCACTTAGACCACATACCCAAGCTGTGCGGCAGAGGCTCATTTGGTGGGCTGCCCCCCCCCCCCGCCCCACTGGATCCCTGGTTCTCAACCAAGGTGACTGTGACACCCAGAGAACACTGGCCAATGTCTAGCGACAATTTTTGTTTGCCAAAAACCCAAAAGTGGAGGGAGTGCTACTGGCATCCACAGGATAGAGCCAGGGGGTGCTACTGAACCCCTCACAGTGCACAGGACAGCCCCTCTCGGTGGAGAATTATCCAGCCCAAATGTTAGTAATGCCGAAGTTGAAGAACTCTGGTCTAGATTATAAACTCCACACAGCAGGCATCGGGCCTTTTCTTGTTCACTGTTTTGTGCCCCAAACCTAAAACACAGGGGCCAGCTCAGAGTAGGCAAAGAAGGGAGGGAAAAAGGAAAGAAGGAAAGAAGAGAGGGAGGAAGAAATACACATAGTACATTCTCTGGAGAAACTTAAAGTCCAGGCGAGGCTGGGTGTGGTGGTGTGCACCTGTAGTCCCAGCTACTCGGGAGGTGGAGGCAGGAGGATCCCTCCAGCCCGGGAGTTGGCAGCTTCAGTGAGCGCTGATTGTGCCACTGCACTCCAGCCTGGGTGACAGGGTGAGACCCTGTCTCTAAAACAATAAAACATTTTTTAAAAATTTAAAGGCTAGATAAAGGGGAATTACTAATTTTGGCTTGACCAATGTGCTGTAGTTGCTGTGTCAGGAAGTTTTATCACCCTTCCAAAATTTTTCCAGTCCAAGCTCAGTTGTTGATGTCAAGCCAGATGCCCCTCCCAGCACATTAGGCAACACCATTCTTTTCTTTTCCAGCATATTATGGGGGTGCAAATGTTTAGGTTACCTGTGTTGCCTTTCCCTCCTCTTCTCCCTGGAGTCAGAGCTTCAAGTGTGTCCATCCCCCAGATGATGCACATTGCACTCATTATGTATGTATATACCCATCCCCTCCTGCCCCCACCCACCTGCTGGACACCCGATAAATGTTATTCCTATATATCCTGCAAACTAGTGCAACCTCTGTGGAAAACAATATGGAGATACCTTACAGAGATATAAGTAGATCTACCATTTAATCCAGCAATCCCATTACTGGGCATCTACCCAAAAGAACAAAAGACACTATAAAAAAGACATCTGCACTCGAATGTTTATAGCAGCACAGTTCACAATTGCAAATATGTGGAAACAACCCAAGTGCCCATCAATACATAAAATGTGGTATATGTATACTATGGAGTACTACTCAGCTATAAGAAACAATGGTGATATGTGCAGCACCTCTTGTATTTTCCTGCATAGAGCTGGAACCCATTCTACTAAGAGGAGTATTCCAAGAATGGAAAAATAAGCACCACATGTACTCACCACTCTTAATCAGTAGTTCCAACTCTCCAGTTCCACAGAGCCATGACAGTGGTCATTCTTCCTCCTCCACCTCCAGTCTGCTCCTGCTGCAGCCCATGAGTGGTCCTGCATGTTGATCTTCACCAGCACACTAGAGCTCACATAGGTCTGACCACTGCACAGCCTACACATGTGCACACAAGGGAACTAATATGCAGAGCCACTTGACTTTACTGCCCCCTGCTGGGGCTGGTGAGCTGAGATGGTCTCATTCCCAGTTGCAAACAAAACCTGGTGGGGGGCGGAGCAAGATGGCGGACGAATAACACCGCCAGACAGAGGGTCTCTACAGAAAAGACCAATTCTAGCAGATACTAGAGGAAAGAAGCAAGAAGACGAGCATACAGCGGACAAGGGCCGGAAGGAGGGGTACCTGAGACCCCGGGAGACTCCACGGGAGGAGGCTGCGGAGGAGAACTGGAGGCTGAGACCACCGGAGCAGCCCGGAGACCAGCGGCAAGGGTAGGTGGAATTGCTGTTTCCCCTCCCCTGCATTCGGGACTGCTGGCGGGCTCCCCAGTGGGTGGAGAGACCTGCGGACATCAGCCCAGAGACTGCCGCCGCTTGCCAACGGTGAGCCTGTAGCAGACGTGGCACCAGGTTCCCAACTTCCTCCGGGCACCTCCGTGTGCACGGA